CAACAGCCACTGATGCTTTGTCATTTGTGGAGAGGGACAGGGCAAATAAGGGCAGAGACTGCTGTGTGCTGCTGCAGTGATAAACTGGGGTCATGCTGTAAAACAGCTCTGGACAAACTAGTGCCAACTGCATGTAGAGAATGGCCATTTGTCTGGCATCCAGAAAAGCACAACAGAACTCAAGTACTGACAAGTTGCCCTTTAGAACTAGCACAGATCCTCCAGACCTGCATGTACTTCAACACCAGGAATCCACCAATCCCTAAACATTCACTCCCAGGGACTGGAGTTGTGAGTGCACATGTGACTGTAGTATTTTAGGTTAACACCTCACAACTGCAGCCCATTATTAGAGTTGAAGGTATGTTTGCACACCTTTCTTTCTTCTTTCTTTTTTTTTTTTTTTTTTTTTTTTAATTGGAGACTAGCTTAGCTGGAGACGTGTGCAGATGTGCAGGACTGCTGCTGCTTTTTGTAATTTTTGCTTAAGGCAATAGCAGAGCAATCTGCATGTGATTAACAGACTGGAAAAGAATAGCCAGATTTTAGGCACTCTCTTCCCCCCTGGCAACTCCACTCCACTAGTGCAAATATTTCATGACCACTTGGGATGACTGTATAACCATCTGTGAGTTTGGAGGTGGTTGTGGTTTTATATCTTATTTTTTAACCCAGAAACAAAGCCTTAACCAAACTGGAGTGTAAAGTTGCACTGCACCTAAACTTTTCTGGTGCCTTTGCTAGGCAGATCTCCTTGTCCTGGAGGAGGTGGGGAGTGCTTGGCTTTCTCTTTTCTTTTTAAACTTACTTATCGATAAGTCTCCAAAGTCTCTCAAGACAAAACATCCTGTGTTCTCCAACAGCTCTCATCCTGCAACCAGAGTAGGATAGATACAAGTGCTGAGAACCTGCCTTTCTGAAGCACTGTTTGTGTCTTCATGGATTGTTTTATTGCACAGCGAGATCACATACCTCAGTAACATCTACACAAAGAGATGTCGAAGCCACACCCTGCAGACCTCACTGCTCAGGTGCACCTGGCACTGGGAACTGTATATTCAGGTTTAATTTCACAATGGAAATGTTTCGTTTTCCTTTAAATGGCACATTGAAAGAATATGTATTATGGGATTTCAATGCTCTGTTGCTTTTGTAGTGCTTGCTTCACTCAATGCAAAGACTTTTGTCCTGAAGTGCCTGGCTTTTTCTCCCTGAAGATGCAGAGAGGCTACAAAACTATTTCAGTATCATACAATAACTAAATAGAAATTTAATGTTTTCATTTTAATCTACAACATCTAACCCCATCAGCTTTCATACATCCAGCCAGATAACCTGGGGAGAGTACAGGCTTGACAGCACCAGAAGCTTCACTGCAAGACATAAACTCTCATCTCTGCAAACTTTCCTGTGTGTGCCTTTCTTGCGCTGCTTTCACCTGTATCCTTCCCTGCATTCACTGGGTTTCCCCTCTGCACCTTCCAGCACCCCATAGAGGCAAGGGGCCAGCCCTGCCCTGCCCTGGCATCACACCCAGGTTTGGAGTTTGCTCTGTCCTGTGTCCCAATCCCCAGCCCTCAGAGATGGGGGGCAGCCACCCTGGGGCTGGTGTGGGGAATCCAGTGCTGGCCCCTGGAGCACACCATGGCACACAGCCTGCAGTGGCATGGAGTTCCTCCAGCCACAACAGGGTCAACTCACCAACCCTCTCACTAAAATCCACTATTTGAGCTTTTCCCGCTTTAACAGCCTCGTGTAGTGTTGCCCCAAAACTACACTGGTAGTTTTCCAAAGCTAGGTTGCTTAGCCTACGGGGGGGTCCGGTGTGACCTTATGGCTCTCTACAACCAGCTGCAAGGAGCCTGAAATCAGGTGGGAGTTGGCCTCTTCTTCCAGGAAACCAGCAACAGGACAAGAGGACACAGTCCTAAGCTGTGCCACGGGAGGTTTAAAGTTGGACATTAGGAGGAATTTCTTCACAGAAAGGGTGATTGGATACCGGAATGGGCTGCCCAAGGAGGTGGTGGAGTCACTGTCCCTGGACGTGTCTAAGGAACGACTGGACGTGGCTCTGGGTGCCATGGTCTAATTGACAGGGTGGTGTTTGGTCATGGGTTGGACCTGATGATGGCAGACGTCTTTTCCAAACCAACTGATTTGTTTGCGAAACACGGGTTCGGTCAGGACGATCCCGCCGAAAGGCGCCTCCCGCCTTCCTGGTCCGCGGGAAGCGGCCACGCTCTGCACTGCCTTTTCCAACGGGAGACAATTACTCCAAAAAATCGCCCTAAGCCTGGGCACGGGGCGAGCGCAGCCCAGTTCGCACGGAGCTCCCCACCGCCCCTCACAGGGAGGACGGCCCGCCAGGCTCGGCCCGTCCCGCTGCTCCCCGAGGGCTGGATCGGCCGCGCCTCTGCTGCGAGCCCAGCCCCGGGAAGCGCCAGGGAGGTGTCCCGGCAGCTCTGCCCCCTGGCGGGCCCGGGCCGCAGCTGCAGCGGCCTGCCCGCCGTGAGGGCCCCCGAGAGCCGGGAAGGGCCCACGGGATCGCGGCTCTAGGCGCCACTCAGAGGGGGCCGCGGCAAGGTGTATAAGTAGCTATATTTCTGGCATGGGTTTGAGGAGGATTCAGCCAGGCTCTTCTCGGTGGTGCCAAGCGACAGGACGTGAGGCAACGGGCGGAAGCTGATATACAGGAAATTACACCTGCATATGGGGAAGAACTTCACTGTGCAGGCGACCGAGCACTGGGAGAGATTGTCCTGAGAGGTTATGGAGTCTCCCTCACTGGAGATGCTGAAGAACCATCTGGACACAATCCCGTGCCAGGTGCTCCAGGATGACCCTGCCTGAGCAGACGGGTTGGACCAGATGACCCCCTGTGGTCCCTTCCAGCCTGACCTATTCTGTGATTTAATACACAGGATATACACCATGCCTTCCTAGCAATGCTTAAGGGCAGCATTACAGGAGGCAGGAAGGCTGGCTGTGGGAAAGAAGGAAACCCAGAGTCTGGGGTGTGAGGCTGTGGAGCTACTGTCCTAGAACCACAGGCCTCCTGCAAGGAAGGTTTATGTGAATTCACTCAAGTATCAAGGGAGGTTTATGCTAATTCACTCAAATATCAAGGGAAAGTGCTCTGGTGTTTTTCCCAGGATGAGGCTCCATTCTTCAGCAGTGTCGCTGGGTGTGCTAACCCCTTGATTTCCCTAAATACTGGGAATTTGGCTATATCATTTGCAGTAGCAAAAGACTGTTCATGTTTTCTCATGATCTTTTAATAAAGTTTTACTCATTTGTAGACTTTAAAGTGTGATTGTTCAAACCACTGTGGCAAACCTAGTCTCACAAACCAATGTTAACTAATTTATACAGAAGCATGACCCAAAAATTTTAAATTTAAGTATCCCTAGTATCCCTATACTAGGCACTCTGGTGGGGAAAACAGGACAGTCAGTTCCCTGTTTGGGGCAGATTTTTGGTAAATAGTTTGCACTTTGAGCAGCAATATGCGAAGAAAATGGTAATGTTAAGGGATAGGAAAGGACCTTAAAGCCCATTTAGACACAGCCCCCCTGCCATAGGCAGAGACATCTCCCACTGGACCAGAGCTCCATCCCAACTGTCCTTAAACATTTCCAGGGGTGGGGCATCCAGAACTTCTCTGGGTAACCTGTTGCAGTATCTCAGCACCCTCACAGTAAAGAATTTCTTGCTAATATCTGTCCTAAAATTCCCCTCTTTCTGTTTGAACCTATTAGTCCTTCTAATCCTGAGGCTCTAGCCCAAGCATGGGCACATAAGGCCAGTTTATATCAATCCCGTAGACACCAGCTTGAGCATGGGATCAGGCGTATGGTGTCCCCAAAAGGCAGCTCTCCTCTGAATGGACATTTTCCCTTGTTTGGACCATGAACAAATCCATGGACACAGGCCACCAGGGTCCAGTGGCCATCCTGAGATGCCTGGAGATAACTGTGACACATGCAGGCCTGGAAACAAAGAATAGGGGAGGGGGCCAAGTCCCTGCTTGCGTCTCCCGGGATCGGCTGCCTCAGGTCCCGTCCCCTCACAGATGAGTCTCTGCTATCAGTGGGCAGAGCAGGGCAGGCTCAAACAACCAGACTTGTTAGGGTTGTCAGGGTTGGAAGACGGAGTCCAACCCCATGGCAAGGCAGTGTCACCTCGAGCAGGTGACACAAGAACACGTCCAGGTGGGTTTTTAATGTCCCCAGATAGCGAAAATCCACGACCTCGTTGGGCAGCTTGTTCCAGTGCTCTGCCACCCTCAACGTAAAGTTCTTTCTCACACTGAGAAGGAAACTCTCATGCTTTCAGTTACGGCCACTGCTCCTCGCTGTCTCACCGAGCACCACTGAAAAGAGTCTGGCACCATCCTCTTGGCACCTGCCTTTGAGATACATTTACACGCATTAACGAGATCCCCTCTGTCTCCTCGGGCGCCATTTCGGCAGGCCCAGGCCCCCTCCTGTCCCTTCCCCGGGCCGGGCGGCGGCAGAGGGCGCTGGCCGGGGCGGCCGGGAGGAGGCCGACAGCCGCAGCCTTATCAGCGCGCCGCAGGCCGGGCCGGGCCCGCTCGGCCGCGGCTTCCCGGCCGCCGGCCCATGGGCGGCGGCGGCTGCTCGGAGGCGCCTCCTCCTCCTCCTCCTCCTCCCGCCGTAGACCCGTGCAGCGCGGACCTGCGACCGCAGCAGCAGCAGCAGCAGCAGCAGCAGCTCGGGTGCCGCGCCGGCTGCATGGCGGGCTACGCGCCGCGCCTGCCCTGGCTGCTGCCGCTGCTGCGCCGGGCGGCGCCGCCCCCCTGGGCTCGGGCAGCCGCCGCGGCCGCCGGGCTCCGCGCCCCGCCGCGCCCGCCCGGCAGGTGCGGGGCGCAGCCGCTGCCGCCGGGCTCCCCGTCCTCCCCGTCCTACCGCCGCCTCCTCCCCGCCGCGGCGGTGGCGGGCGGCTCCCCGCGCTCTCTGAGCACCGCGGCGGGCGCGGAGCCGCCTCGCAGGGCTGCGGACGCTCCGCCGCGCTTCGAGGCTCGGAGGCTGCTGGCCCTGGCGCACCCCGAGCGCCGGAGACTGACAGGTACCGGGGCCGCCCCGGGGCTTTGCCCGAGCGGGAGGGGGCGGCGGGCGCCCCGCAAGGAGGGGGTGCGCGGCCGGGATGCGCCCCCGGACGCCGGGGCGAAGGAGAAGGTCGTGTTTCCCGGGAGAACCGGCCCTGCTGGCAGCATCCCAGCGCAGCGCGGAATCTTGGAGCGAGCCTTCCATACGTGTGAAAACCTAAAAACATACATTCTCCCCACTCTTCTCACTTTTCCATCTCTTAATCTGTTGGTTTTTGAAGGGAAGGCAAAAGTTTTGGAAGTTAACAGAACTCGAGAACTCGGTTCCGTTTGTTTAATATCTCTGTGCATGTTCAGCGCTGGCTTCACAATCTGCCTGCAATAAATTTGGGCCCAAGACTATATGAAATTAAGTAAAAAGGGGAACCTGATGCGTTTACTTTTTAAAAATAAACTGGAATTCTGTCCCTAAATAACTTTCTTGCTTGAAACTTTCATAAGATGTTTTGAAAATTGTTTATTTTCTAGTGTCTATACGGTGAAACCAAAACACTGTGGTTGTATAAATTATACCCTTAACGCTGGTATTTTCGACAGTATAAACTGAATTTTCTTGACATTGCTTCTCATGGGTTAGTATGATAATAGCTGTTGGTAAGAAAACAATGTGAAATTATTATGTGCTTTGGGTTTTCAAGGCATCTTTATTGGTAGACAGCATGTGCATTGTCTCATGAGTAAGAAGCCTGTAGTCCTCTGTAAAAGTTTAGGTTAGTTCCCATGGAATGGGTAAATGGTGTTTGAGAGGAGAGGTGGGGTAGTTAGACATATAAAGAGGTGGTTTGTAGAATACAAAACACTGCACAAGATTTTATTCACAGTGGATATTTACAGAGTTTCATTACATGTTGGTGTTATATAGCCAGCATAATTTGGATCCAAATGAATGTTTATAGATTTTAGACTACCTCCTGGTTTTACAATGAAGTTTTAAAAGTCTGTGGTTTTCCCATTTAAATTTCATCAAGTAAATAAATCAGTTATTTTAAGTCTGACTTTTAGGACCCAAGGCTTCTAAATAACTGAAAATTTAATTTAGTTCACTTTACTGGGCACTTGCTGCCAGCTTGTTTATCACAGGCAGGGTATGTTATTCTTGTTCGTAATTATGTTTTGAAATAGAGCAAAGTATCCTTAATCTGTGCAGTCTGCTGATGGTTTTATCTAAGTAATTGGCTATCACAGTTACTAAAAAACAGCTACATGCAGTTTTGTCTTTTGAGATAACAAAATGGCCTGAATTAAAGTTTGGAAAAACCCTAACACAACAACTTGATGATATCAAATCATGAGGATGGAAAAAATATGGAAATATAATAAGTGCTTTTCAGTGTTCAGTTAGTCTTCATTCTGGGAGAGGTGTGAATTTATGTAAGATTCTTCTTTATTAGCACCCTGCTTAAGGGAAAAGTTGTAGTTAAGTTGTAATTAGGTGGGTTGATGGAAAAGCTAACGGGAAAATGCTTTTGGACATTATAGGGTGCAGGGATAACAAATATGGGTAAAATGCATTGTAGGTGGTTGTAGGGAAATTGCATCTAAAATATGTCGCATTTTGTTCCTGTTGCAGCTTTGTACCGAGAAACTAGTCCTTAAAAAACTAGTATGTTTGGGTTTGCTCCATTCAAAAAAAAAGAGGAAGGTTAATGGTTTTGAAACAATGAAGCCAGGGTAAAACATTTAATTTCCTTTTCAAGTCCATATAACCAATAAGCAAATGACGTGAGATCTCTTCAGAGGTCTACAGGTGCTGTTTAGTTCTGCAGGAAGGTTGAGTTCTTCCAGATTTTTTGTATTTTATAGAACAGGTGTCTGGTAAGATAGGAGTGTAGCAGTACCAGTGTGGAGTGCTGTGTACCTTTTCTGGCATTCCACCTGGCCCATGAGTTGTGATGGTCTCTGTCTGCTCCTTGCAGCTGAGAGTTGAAATTCGCAGTCACAGAAGGTGAAGCAGTTGCCGTGAGGACAGTGGAAGACACTGGGAGGATGATTTATGGGGAAGTTGAGCAAGACAAGCTTCACCCATCTTGGTGCACTGGGGAAGTGGTGTCAGCTGATGGGGTGCAAGTACAGAGGTGAAGGTGACCTGGTCCCCTGGTGATTGGCACCAGAGGAGAAGGTCCCATCTTGCTCTGTGCAGGGACTCTCCACCATCCAATGGCTCAGGAAGAAGCAATGTGCTCTGCCTCGGACTTCCCGTGTGCTGGCACACAGCACCTGTTGCAGAAGGAGCTTCTGACTCTCTGGAGGCTCCTGGGAATGAAAATAATTGTATCAAATGTCACACTGTCAAAAAAAAAAAAAAAAGTATGAGTGTAATATGTTTCCTGTCCAGTTACTTCTACAGCAGGGTAGAGCTATGAATATATTTGAAATGAGGCGTGTGTTAAATTTTGTTGTTTGCTATTAAAGTGGTAAAAGGAAGCCCAAATACTATGGTGGGAATTCAATCTATTAGTGACCATGGTTCTGTGTAGTGATTAGGAGTTTGTAAATCCCATAATACCTCCCAAGTTTAACAAAGGAGAGGAGTAGTTGCAGGAGTTCTTTGGCCAGTCTGGTGTAGTCAGATAAAGTAAACCTGCATCTTCAGTTAAATTCAGTCCCTGGGGAAGAGGACAGGGCCATTGTTGGGATTATTAAATCCTGTTCTGTGTGTGAGACCACAAAAATGCCTTTTGAAAATTATCCTTTTTGCATCCTCCTGCCTCCTTGTTTCTCCCTGTGAGAATCTGTCTGTTGCACTTTATCCAAAGCACACTCGAAGGAAACAATATTGTATTGAATTGTAAAGTAAGCACAAGGAACTCTGAAATTTTTAATCCCATAGGAAAGTGTGCCCTATCCCTCTATTAAACTTTCTGTGTACCGCATAAGGTTTGTTTTGTCCTCTTTAGAGGCATTCAAGAAATGTTATTTCATACGTTTTATTTGGTAATTTTTGGCAAGTTTGTAATAGCTGCTTTCCTAAGGATTAAAATTTCAATTAAGTCAGAAAAGCACTGCCTTATTCATAATCAGATTTTTTTTTACTTTAAAATTACACCAGGTGATACATTTTGATTTTTTTACAAGGCAATTCTTGTGGTTTCAAAATCGTAATTCATGCATATATATATACATATATATATATATAGAGGTATCTTACTGAGTGTTTTCTCATATGTGGCACACCAATAAAATATAGGCTAGGTGCTTTTTGTTGTTTCTCCCCCTAGTTTTTCTTCTGATTTTGTCAACGTTTGGTATGAAACGCACAAAAGGTCCAAGGAGCTTTGTAGCTTTATCGCAGAAAGTTTGTTTTTCTGTGCCTAATTGGTGATGGTTGTTTATTTTAAACTGGTGGTGAACTGTTAACGAAGCTACTTAAGTAAGACATTACAGAAACTGTAGCTGCTTATCACTGTGATCAGTTAGGTGCTTGGACCTTAATTTCCTTGGGGGATGTTGTTGCTGCATTATTTGTGTGAGCTGTGGACATGGAAGGAGTAATAGCTAGGTTGCTCTGACATAAAGACTCTCCTATATAAGGTAAATATGAACAAGTTAATGCTTTACTGTTAAATGCACGATAGGAAAAAGAAGCCATACTCTCTCCTCTAAACCTAGAGTTATTCTGTTACTTTCTAGCATTTTGTGAACTGTATTTTTTTTTCTGAGCACAGTTACACAGTTGTTCTAAACAGTGTAAGGAGGGTGGTTCTAAAAGGTTCTTGCATAATAATAGATGCAGTGCAGATGCCATGTATGAATTTACTTTAACACAGAAAGAAAAGCACTGCACACAGTGAACTCTGGAAGAAGATTTTTATCTTGCAGTAAGTGTTTGCAGAGCTGACTCTTAGCAGAGTTGATACCCAAAAATATTGTGGACCAGGGTCCACCGAAAGGAAATGAACTTTATTTAACCAACAAATATAAAATTTACCAGTGCATCTTTCTCCCATAAAAGAACAGCTGAAGAGCCCAATCTTCCTGAATGCACATGATAATGTGGTAGGTTTCATTCATCATTCCAAATGCCCTTGTGGAAAGCCAGTCAGTGTTAAGCTTAAAAGTTCTCTACATATGAAATAAAACTGCACAGATAAGAGGTAAAAGACAGACATTCATTGTTACTGATAGAAGGATATTTCTCACAAATCCAAAGCTTGCTTCTGACCTGCCAGCCCCCCATATTTAAATGAAACCAGTACAATACCTAAACGTTTTCAGGAGGTAACATTCATAGCTTATGGAATAGTAAAAACTAGCTACTGTGACCTGTTTCTGGGTTACTGTGCTCTGCTAGATCTCGTCAATACCTCATTTTTTTTTTTTTGTCTTTTGTCCTTGATTGGCTTAGATGATCTTAATTCATCTGAGGTAAGATCCTTATGTATTTGTCTTCAAAGCAGCCTCTCACCAAACAGACTTGCAAGTATTCTGTCTTCATACAGTTCCATATACTATACTGCATGAAAAGGGTGCTCTGGTAAGAACCAGCAAAATTAGAAACATTCACTGCCTTGGTGGTGTTTTTATGTGTAGAAAATTAATTTATGACTCTTTGGAGTCACTTAGTCTATGCTCTGAAGAGAGGTTTCTGATAGCTCTGCCTAGTTATTGCTTGTAAACATAGTGGTTTATCAGTTGGCAGCCTTGTCCTCCAAGGAAGTTGCAAGGAGTCAAGAAGCAAGCCCATGTCAGCCTTAACAGAGAGTCTGTTGATCTTAATAGTGATAAAGGCATCACTTTGTGCAGTAATCTGGATTTCTGTGCAAGTAGACAAGCAAAATGTTTTCCAAGAGGGGTTGCTCAGCTGCTGCTGCAGCCGCCTTTCCTTGTCGTTGCTCCTGTTGCCACTTTGAAGTCCTGGTTTTTTATATGTTCCACTGATCTGCCTCACATTTTCTTTATTGTCATCTCATAGCCTACCAAAAAAAAATTACTTCAAAAAGTAAAAGGGTTTGTTTGATGTAATTTTCTGGGTAACAGAGTAAGCCACGTGAAACTAATACTATAGAGTTTACTCTGACTTTTTTTTTCTATCAGCAACAGCCTTCAGTGTCACTGGAGTGTCTTCATATCTGGTTGCTGAACACATTGAACTCCTCCCTTCAGCCAGTTATCACCATGACAGCTCCTTTGAAGGAGGCAATGCAATGAGTGTTTGCTGGTTCTTATTTTTTCAACTAGTCAGCATTTTAAAAGAAACAAAAAATAGCAGCCACTTGGCAACTGCTATTTTTAGTGGGTTTGCTGGCACAATCAGCATGAGAGTTTCAATTTGGGAACCTTATTTTGCATGTGATTTGTGATTAAATTAACGAAGACACGTATGTTGCTTAGTTCAGTAGTTTTCAGTTTGCTTTAGGTACTAGTATTTGCTCTTCATTCAATTAAGGCTGTTGGAAGTAATTACAGTGAAACCCATGCTAGTTTCAATGAGGAAGAGCTGAAGATAAAGTCAAGCTACTAGACAGAAACATATGGGGGGTTTAGCTATACAGTCCTCTTCCTTCTGTGAATATTTATATCTGAAGTTCATATGTACTGTTCCATCCATAACTGAGAAATTGTCTGGTCTAATGGCGATTGAGTTGCCATGCAGTACTGTGCTTATAATCAATGCTTTTGTCCATCTCCAGCTGCCTTGGAGACCAACCAGCTTTTCCTGACAGGAAATATCCTGGATTTTGCTGGATTTTTCCCTGCTACTTCAGAGGTTGAATATTCCAATGCTGCCAGCCTGTTAGTAAGGTCATTCATTAATTTTTAGCTAATAAGTAATATCCTCATGAGAGGTGCCTATGGCATAGATCAATTAGTTTACACCAGATAGTTTTTCACTTTCTCCTCTGGTTTCTTGTAGTTTCTATAGCTTCAAGTTGAAGATCCAAATCCTGTATCTTTCACATGCTTCCTGGCCTGACTGTAACACAAGGCAAAGATTGCAAACAAGTCTTGACTAAGAAGCACAGGCTGCAGCTGTGCATTTTTGTACTCTGAATTCTTCCTTATAAATGCACAGCTGTATTTACACTTCAAGTAAAAACTGAAACAAAGCTTTCCACGTGTGTGAAGGTGGTAAGAGGCATCAAACCATCTGTGTCAGGTGCTAGAAATACTGCTTACACCAGTGTGCAAAAGGGAGGCTGGCTGCTGTCTTTGTCATAGAAGCGATATAAGGAGCTCAGTAGAATGGAACGGATCTTCAGGACTTTCAGCACAGTATATTTTTGTCTTCAAAGGCATTATTTGTTAGTAGTTTTGCAGCAATGCTATGAATGGTTGCTTTAAGTGTGTAGTTGATTCTTGGAAAATGATGCTATATAAATGTCATTGTTTTTGTGGTTCAGTGGTTTTCATATCAAGTTTGTTCGCTTTTCAGTTAAGATGTGGTTTATTCTAGCTCTCAGCCATCCAAGCTTGGCTTGCCTTTTTAGAAATAAATTGTGGTTTTGGCTCAAGAAATTTCTTTGCAGATTTAAGCTCAAAAGACTAAGTTTTGGTCCAATGTGAGTTTCATACTTTGTGATATACCTTCAAAAAGCTACACAGGCTGTTCCATGGGTGGTCCTACAACTGGAATTCAAGAGCTCAGTTCATCAGCAAATGTACTTCTAATTAAGACATACACTATTTATCTTTTAGACCAACAATACTAAAGAGTAAAACAAAATGAATGTTTATAAAATTTATCACTTAAGAGAAAATCAAATTTGGGTAGTTTTTTTTGTTTGTTTGTTTGTTTCTGGTTTGTTTGGGGTTTTTTTTCCCAATAAAATTGCATGGCTAATTGATTCTCAGATCAGATCTTTACTTCAGTCCATTGTTATCTCAAAAACAGGCAACTGGAAGCTTCCATACAGTGACAACCATGAATAATAAAACCCAAACCAAACAGGAGTTGAAGGATTGTGTGTGAGAATTTGGTAACTGTCAATGCTCTCTAAGGGTGACACCTGTGAAAAGTTTTTTTTGGATGCTGCTGTTGAAGATTAGACAAGAGAAGCGATTCCAGGACTGTGATTGTATACAGAGGCTTTTCAGAGTTTTAAAATGTGCCTTGCCTAAGTTAATTTATACAGTGGCTTAAAATACCCCTTTCAGAACTGGGTGCAAAAGAGTGCTGATTATTTCAATTGGCACTTGCCAGCTTAATAGAAGTTTCAAGTGAAAAATCATTTAATTTGTACTATTAACGATCTTGTAGGTGCAGAATAACTTTCCTTTTTCTTGTTGATTTGCAGCTGCTGTTGGCTTTCTGGCAGTTTCCAGTGTCATTACCATGTCAGCTCCTTTCTTTATGGGGAAAGTTATTGACATTATTTATACAAATCCCAGTGAGGATTTCACTGACAGCCTGACCAGCCTGTGTGCCTTGCTGAGTGGAATCTTTGTATGTGGTGCTGCTGCCAATGCTACACGTGTCTACCTCATGCAGACTGCAGGTAAAAACAGAAGCAAAAGTGGTACTTAGAGTCATCTTGTTTATCACAGCCAGGATATCTAATAATCTTAAACAAATTCTTGGCAATGGCCAAGAGATGATTTTGGAATTGGTAGCTTATTTTAACCAGAGCAGAGGTAAATCAGTAGTGCAAAGATAAGTCTGCTGGAATGGTTGCTCATTTTTATTTGCTCTTAGGTGATCTTAAAGGAGATCTTAAAGATCTCATCTAACACATCTTACCAAACTCTCTTCCCTGTAGTGTGCCTTGTTCAGTGCTGTGCAAGCCTGTGATTTTTATATTGTTGATGTCTGTGTGAAGCCCCTTGTGTCATGCTTGACTGACTTATGTTTTTGACAGGACAAAGAATTGTGAAGCGTTTGAGAGCAACCATGTTCTCCTCTATTGTGAAGCAAGAAATAGCTTTCTTTGACAAGACCAGAACAGGAGAGCTGATAAACCGCTTATCTTCAGATACAGCCCTTTTGGGCCGCTCAGTGACTGAAAACCTTTCAGATGGGCTCAGGGCAGGAGCACAAGCATCTGTGGGGATTGGAATGATGGTATGGTGGTCTCTTGCTTGATGCTTCTTGTAGTTTCACATTTGTTTCAATTCTATTAGGTGAGTGTGAATCAGTCCAGGAACAATTGTGTGCTCTTGGGTATGAATATATTTCATTGATTGTCTACAACAGATGCAGAGTATTGCAAGAGGTGATATGCCTGTAGTCAGCCACTTGATGTTTACTCACAAGCAAAATTTGGAGGATGATGGATTGACATTAACGACTGTTGCTACCCAAAGTTATCAAGCAAAATGTAGTAGGCTAATTGCTGAATTCCCTTCTTACTGAAGATACTAAAAAAAAAATTATAACATTCCCATGGTTGTAGGTAAAATACGGTATGAAATTGGTAGGTTCTGTTAAAGCCTGGGTGAGCAAAGGCAGCACTGCACATCTAATTAATGCCGAGGATTTTTACAAGCATTTGTCTTTCTGCTTTAGTCTGTCAGTGAAAAATATGTTTATGTAGGAACCTTGTTAATGAAGGCTTCAGTGCAGGGCATCAGTTAATATTCCTTGGTGGTCAGTTGGATTACACGAACATCTGACTTCTCTTGAGGGTTTTTTTGTGGCATTAATTTTTTTATGTTTTGCATTGGATGCAGTTATCTTAAATGAAGGTGTAGTATTTCTGCTGTCTACCTGGAGTTAAACACGGATAGCAAATAGTCTCCTCATAAAAATAAGCATCCAATATTGTCATTATTAGAAAGTGTTAAGAATTTCCACTATGAAACTTTAAAGCTTTACTGTTTTGTCACTGATAAGAATTGCTGATAAGAATGGCTTTCTGTACTGTCTTACAAAGGGAGTCTGAGGTTTTATCTTACCACAGATAAAATGAGATAACTTTATATAATGCATTCTGCTCCAAAACACTGCCATGAGATGGCTGTAAGAGGTGAACTATAAAAGCTTGCCAAGAAAAGAAAGAAGATATTATGAAATAATTGTAAAGCCTGTCAATTATGTTGATTTCGAATCTTTCTAGAGATTTTTGTTTTCAATACAGAAAGCCAGTTGAAATGAAAACACATTAGATCTAATGTCAGTAAATCTTAATAATAGAACCTCTTTAGGTGCTTTGATGATGATCATTACAAGCAATAAGTTGTGCAGCAATAAATCAAATAGCTGTTCCACCCATTTGTGGGTGCTAGACAGTACTGGTGACTCCATCTGTTTGTTCCTCAGTTACCCAGAAGTACTGTATGATATTTCTCTACTCAGAGTTTCTGTATTACACAATCCATTTAATAGTTGTGAAAGCACTTTGAAACTGTGTAATAGCTTATAGCTTTCAGCATCCCCAAGAGATTTCCTGGTAGGCCTGTTTAATGGCAGGTTAAGATGCTTGACTAAGACCACACAGTGAACCAGTAAGAAAACTAGAAATTAAATCCAGACAGCTTTGTTTATAGTCCTTTGTTCTAACCTCCCAAATGCTGTGGAAGAATGGATATTTTGCCTGGAAAAAAAAATTAAAACATGATAAAGCATGGCAACACTAAATCCCTACTAGTTTTAGAAAAGTAGCAAGGGAAGTTGCACTTCAGTACTCCAGGGATTATTTTTAATCTGAATGCTAAACTCTGACAATACCTTTTTCTTCTAGTTTTTTGTTTCCCCTAGCCTTGCTGCATTTGTTCTGAGCGTTGTGCCACCGTTGGCTGTCGTGGCTGTGATTTATGGCAGATACTTGCGAAAGCTTACTAAAATGACTCAAGATTCTCTTGCAGAAGCAACACAGGTAACCCTTCTAGTTAACTTTAACCTAAATGTATCAGAGCAACTTTGGTATCTCTAAAAGTTATACATCTTCTGAAGACAATTGTACTGTTAGTTCTGACCCTGTAGTTTTGTAGGTGAGTAGTATGAAAGGTGAATGTCAGTAACACTTATTCACAGATCTCAAAAACAACCATGCTTCCTTTGTCCATAACAGTATAATACAGAGATACTAGACCTTGAGAATCTGGAAATATAAGAAATGACAAGGAGCTTAGGCTTTAGCTTTGTGAGAGCATAAAAAAAATCAGCCTATGAAGTCCTGTGTAAGTTGGTACCTAGATTTGAAAGTCACTTTTCTTGGATTACAGTTTTGAGCTTGAAGCTTTCAGGAGCAGCCCAGATGAATGCTTCCTTTGCTAGCAAGCCTGTTTCTGAAATGCACCCCTGATGTTTGACCTAACTGTCAGCTCTTAAAAGTTTATGGGGCCTGTTTCTTAAACATTTTCCTCAAAGGCTTAGGGTGGGGAAACATTATTATAAAGCATAGAAATATAATTAGGAAAGCTCTAGTTAAAATAGTCACAGATGTTAGCTGTTATAAACATGGCATGTCCTTTTTAGAACTGTGCGAAAGGAATATTATCCCTCTTCTGTTTGTCCTCCTTAGACTGTATTGGTGGGAAGCTCATGCCTTTGTAAACCAGGTGTGGGACTTCATGTGAACAAGCAATTGTTGTATTCCATTCAAATTTTCAGGTTGAAAGGGAGATGGAAGAAGGAGAATTATATTTTTGTATTATACTTTTACTTACAAAAGCAGAACTTGTGTTTTCTAAGACCATCACAATGTCCATTAACAACTTAGTGTAATTGATAAAAATTAAGGTATTTTAGAATTAATACTTTTCTGTTTAAAAGTTGAAATATTGAGTTGAAATGAGACATTAGTATTTGGACTAAATTAATTTCCAGCATTGCTTTGATAAATGAGTGGAACTGTTTTAGGAAATAACTGCGGGCTTTTTTGCATGGCTTAGTATGAAACAGAATATTCTTTATTTTTTCCCTTCCCACGTTGTTATTGCATATTGTGAATAGTAACTTCCCTATGGGTGTTGTTCACACCAAATTTTTTAACCCTACTTTTATATTTTTCTGTCTCTGCTAGCACTTAAGACAATCTTGAGGTTTTTTTTAAAACTGCCTGGGCATGCAGCTTGCTTTTAACTTAATAAAATTTAAAAAAAGGGGGTTGGGGTGGGGAGAGGAAGGAATGAGAAAATTTCTAGTGCTATCCAAAGATATGTAGATTAGTGATTAGGTTTAACTTTCAAATGTTCTGTAATGTGAGCATTTCAAATTGTGTGTCTCTGTGGATCTGTTTTATGCTTTGCTTCAACGCAGTTAGCTGAAGAACGTATTGGAAACATCAGAACAGTTCGAGCTTTTGGGCAAGAAGTGGCTGAAATGGAGAAGTATACAAATAAAGTTGATTATGTGCTACAGCTGGCTAAAAAAGAGGCAGTAGCTCGGGCAGGCTTCTTTGGAGCAGTAAGTATATTTAATGAAAGTAAGCCAACCATGTTATGCAAAGTGTCAATTATTTTTAAACTCCCAAAGATACTTAAAAATCTGCAAGTAAATGATTGAGAATAAATTGAAGCTACATAAAACTGTGGGAAGACTGGACTTAAATCAGTCTGAATTGCTGTGAAACTGCATCTCAAGATAAAACAATATGATAAAGTCATCTTAAGCCTCTATTTCTGCACCATGCCCCATAGCTGGGGACTACTTAGCTGAGGTCATACCTTCTATTTAAGGAATTAAACCAGTGGAAACCTTCCCCTACCCTTAGCATGTAGAGGTTTGGCTCCCCAGTGAGAGGAGCATCAATGCATAGGAAGGTGGGGAGTGCACAGGTATGGGAGGGAGGCTTGGATTTTTCCATAACTGTTTGTCTAATTGAATTCTAAAACTGGACCGTAACTTCAGACTATCAATTCTTCCTTGATAAAGATGGCTGAGAATAATGTTTAATGTTCCTTTCCACCTTGGGGGAAAACAAAAAAGCCAAAAAAGAGTTGCTTGCTTTTTGAACACTTGTTGGATAGCACAGTGCCACTGGATGTCTGGCTGGCTGTTGGCTGACTTTATATTAGAATTGTTGAATTTACTACAGTCCTCCAAAAGCCTAGACACCTATAATGTGAGAGTTCTTTTCATTACAAGGAAAGTTCTGAAACAACATTTTAGGGGATGAAATTCAAGATGTATGTGACATTTAAGATGCCTTTTCCTTTTTCCTTAGACTGGCCTTTCTGGGAACTTAATTGTCCTGTCAGTGTTATACAAAGGAGGATTACTAATGGGCAGTGCCTACATGACAGTTGGTGAACTCTCATCTTTCCTAATGTATGCTTTCTGGGTTGGCATAAGCATTGGAGGTATGGAACTGGAAATTAGATTTTCTTCACTTCAAAGCTTTACAGTCATTATAGGGATGGGAGGGAAGAAATACTTAAAAAATCTGACTTTCTTAAAAAGTCTTCCAAATGAACTTCTCAAGAAATCATAATTATTTTTTTTTTTCTGAAGAATTAATGAAAATATTCCTCTATAATTTAATATAAACCTTCTTTTTCTCCAAAAGAAAGGTTGTTTTTTTTCAATGTGTGCATGTGACAGTATATATTACTTTAATTTTCTTTAGGTCTAATTAAGATACTTGCTGTATTGTGTAAAGCAAAAAAAAAAAAAATATGTGCGTCTATGTTAAGCATACTCTTTTTAGAAAGGCACGTAACATTTAGCTGTAATTCAGTATAGAGTGTCCTCAGCTGGAAGAGTAAACAAAGTGCCACCAAAATACTGCACTTGGTGCTAACCTTCTGGGTTTCCTTACTCACTGACTTCTCCTAGAAGCTCACAGTCTGTAATCTACTGCCCCAGCAACAAGCTGTTCATCTTTTTGACAGAGCTGTCTTCATGGCTGCATACAGGCAAAAATGAAGATAAGTTGCTCTGAAACTCTACAGCTTATTTGAAGTATTCTTCTTTAATATGAGTCTGTTACTTCTGATAAACTAGGAGGGCGATGCAGCCTTTTAAGACTAGGCCTGATATCCCAGGGAGCACAAAGATGTGCTTGAGGGCAAAATTTAACAAACCTGCTTCCTTGTATACCAAAATTCCAGTGGCACCCATTCCAACTATCAGCCCCCTTTCTTCTTTGCTTAAGTCATTGAAGTTTGGTCAACAGAGATACCTGGCACTTTGAAAACATGGGACAAGCTAATATTAAATAAATGAAGATTAGAAGCACTGCTAAAAATATAATTGAATTAACTTTTATTTGCCATAAAAAGATATTTTTAAGTTCTAGTTCATATTACTGTAGAATGTAGTTCTGCACAGAGCTCGTTCTCATGGGGGCTCTGAAGCAGAGGTGTCTTGCCACAAGAAGCCTTCCTGGATGCCTGTAAGGCATATAAATCTTCCAAGTGCTAAGTCTTCTCTGTGTATGTCATCAATACATATAGGAGTTGATGCAACAATGGTGAATTTCACTACATAATCTGTGACTTTGCCCCTCTTTGTTGTGCTTTCTTCCAAACACAGAACATGGGTTATGAAAAATAAAAACATTTTCTAATTTGTATTTGCTGTCCCTATTATATAATGTTTTTTTAATGAGTGAATTTGCACACCTCAGTGTTTGAGTTTGAAGTTGCTCTGTGAGGCTTATGCCTTCCCCTACTATGCCCTGCTCTAGGATGTGATGCTTTGGCTCTTTTTTCCAAACAGACAGCTTCTCACCATGGCTAGTGTTGCAAACTTTCAGATAGTCCTCAGCAGCAGCATGATGAAATACTCTGCCTACACTTATAGACTTGTGACCTTGAGCTGAACTTCTTGCTTTTCAAAAATAAACCAGTAAATCCATAGATAGATAGGTAGGTAGATAGATAGATGTACATATTTTTATATGCACCTTGGTTTTTCTGCCCTCCTGAAACAACTCTTAACACTGTAAGCACTTTGAAGTGTGTGTTTATTCTGTTGGATTTAAAGATCATTAAATTGGTGTCTTTCTTTTGAAAGGCAGACAAAAATTTAAGAAATTGGACATTTTATATCCATGTACTACTCAATTTTTAGTTCTGTGTTGGTTTTTGTGTTTCTATTAGCTGAAAAGCCCTTCGGCCAAGCTACCTTCAAGATGATCCACGCAGTGCCAAGAGCTGGGACCCAGTATTGTGTGCAGGCCTTGTCCCTAGCTTTTGCTTTCTCAAGTACTGTTTGACGTATTCTGGCATGGGAGAATTTATTTTCCATTGTCCCCTCTCCACATACCTTCTCAAGCATCACTTCAGCCTTAGGTTTTGTGCCCTCTTTCCTCTTTGGCTGACTCAGTCATGCTCCCCTGTATTAGTGTGAACCTATCTGACAAAGAAGAGCATTCAAAATGCTCTGTTCTGTTGAATGATCTGGGAATATAGCTGGTTGAATGCAAAGCCATTTTCCTAAATTTGAATGCTGTTCTTCCTGACAGGTGAATGAAAAAGGGCATACCTAAGCTGAAGTGTATTAACATTTTCTTTCTTCAGAGTCATTTGTTTTGCAGATATAAATAAGAACGGTGAATAAGGGTTATTGGCAGCTCTCAAATGAGACTAGATAGGATTTAACACATTTAACAGTTTGTTGGAATAAAAGATCCCCTACACATCTGATTCTTCAGCTCTGCTGCTGAAAAGTATAATGCTAATTTTATCTCTTCTATGTCTTCCATTGCATATAGATGCATAATACTGTTCTGCTTTCTGTTTAGGTCTAAGTTCCTTTTATTCTGAGCTGATGAAAGGATTAGGTGCTGGTGGACGTCTTTGGGAACTTATTGAAAGGAAGCCCGAACTTCCATTTAATGGTGGGTTCTTGGTTTGTTACTGTTTAAAGGTTGATTTTCTCTTTTGGGTCAGCAATACTTTAGAAGGATGTGTGTAACACTTAAAGGTAGTACTGACTTAGATTCTCCTCAAAAAAACTAGATATAGTCATAATCCTTCTGACTTTACCAAATTGCGAAACAGATGATGAAAAATTCTTTTAATAAAAAATTTTAGAACCCAGAAGTTTGGCTTAATTAAGTACTTTTGGTTTAATTATTTTTTATTTATTTAATTCATAATATGATTTTGAATCATATTATTTTCTAATTTACATGACTGAGGACATGGTCATTTCTAGCTTTTTGGAATTTTTTGTTGATGTCATCACTAGTTCCTCTTGATTCAGCTTTAGAGAGAAAAGAGTGGAAAGAAGAAAAAGGAGAGAGGAGGGAGGAGCTCTGATAAGGCAGTATCTCATATTTCCACTGAAAGGTTTACTGTGCTCATCTCTAATGGCTAAGAAATGATAAGAGAAGCTTTCAAAACCAGGTGCTGTTCATTAAAGAATATTGCACGCTTAAACATTTCATACTAAGCCAGTGAAATCAGCCCATAGTAAGACACGTTGATATGAATCCTATCTTGCAAATACACAGTTTGAGGCCTTTCAGCAACACATACTAAACTGAGTTTTTGAGTTGTTTTGCCATAGGAGTGGGCTGAGCCATGACTGGGGAATAAAAGGAAATAAAGGGTAGGACTGATAGGGGGACTTCTGATTCTTGGGATAGTGTGGATGTGCAGCTACAGCAGGTGTTGCTTTTGGAATGATTTGCACCTTTCTCCTCACAGTAATACTACCCACATTTCTTCCTTATTTGGGGGGAAAAGATTTTATTTTTGCAGAACTCTGGTTGTTGCTGGTGACAACAAATATCTCAGGAACAAATAATAGTGTCTTTTTTCTCATATCTAGAATCCAAACAAAGAGAAAAGTATGTAGCTTTTAGATATTTTTACAGTGATATATAGAGGAAGGACTTGTGGTAGCAGACTTCCTGTATTGCAGTAGATTCAGTGTTTCAAGCCATGGATAGACTGTGCAATAACTGGAACTGATACTTAAGATAAGTAATTACTTGTTACCATGGTAATAATAAGGATTATGCTGTTAACACAGGATTTAGCAAATATATTTCTTTTCCCAAAAGGAGGTTTACAGGCTATTGTGGAAACATTAGAATGTGTATGTCCATAAGTTAAAGGAAGGAATCTGGAATTGTATCCTCTTGCCTTTTCAATTCTAAAGCTACCATCATTAAACTGAAAGTCTGAAGAAATGGAAACATGATTAAAAAAAGAGCAGAACTAGTGAAATCTTGATTGCTACTGATGGGTGTCTTTGTTTCTTATCCACAGTTACCGTTTAACCAAACATTGGCATGTGCTACCATGTGCTGTGGCTGGTTGGGAGTTACTTTAGTGCTGCATCTGAAAAGAATTAAGGGTTTGAGCTGTGCTTCTCCAGCACAAACAAACATGACTCGGGTATTGCTGTAGTACTGCCAGTTTTCACAAATTCAATGGGAACTTCATCTTTTGGGAATGCAGCCCCACTGTCAAATTAATTTGCTCTGTATGGATATGTGTCACTGGGTTTTAACAGGGCTTGAAGAAATTTTTTTTCTTTGTCTTAGCTATTTATCAGCTTTTTATAGTAATGATATTAAGATACATGTTTAAGTCAAGTGCTGTGTTCCAGAAAGAAGCTGGTTTTATTTAACTTTGGTAGTTTTTCATTCATGGAAAATTTCTCAAACTGAAATTTTCATTTCAGTGACCTGTTGCCTAAGAGGTAGGCCTCTTGATTAGTATTTGAATTTATTAAATATGCTTTCCACTGAAAGGAGATAATAAAACCAAAAATTGTCTGTTAGTGCAACAAACCTACCAGCAGCTTTATTCCAGTGACAGGATCTGCTCTTGTTCAGAGGAGAGTGCTTCAGGTGACTTTTGTGGCTTGGTGAAAGGGCAGTAAATGATTTGCAATGTTTACCTTTTTGTGTTCTGTGGTAACGGGACTTTGGCCTTCACCAATGTCTTTTTATTTCATTGCTCCTAATTGACAAAGCTTAAATTGTTCATAGTATGTTCATTAGTTCAGATAATTCTATGAGATGTGATTGTTGTTAGTGGTTAGGTATTAGCAAGATGCAAATTCTCCCTCTTGCTGTAGGCAGCCTACAGGTTCATTGCTGGTGAGCAACCTTAAATTGACATTCGGGAATGATTGGTATACCACACTGATTCACTTATGGCTGAAACATAACCACTGTGGTCCTGAATTGTGGCTTGCAGTTACCCATAGATTGAATGTGGAGATAGATACTTCTATTTAGTGTCTGTAAAGCAAGTTCTAGGCAGGCTGAGCTAATTTTTGTTTCTGTTCACATTTCTGTATTTTATTCTTTGTTATATAGAGGGAATCACATTAGACAAAGACGTATTCAGAGGCGCTTTGGAATTCAAAGATGTTGAATTTGCATATCCAACACGTCCAGAAACATCAATTTTCAAAGATTTCAGCCTTTCCATTCCAGCTGGCTCTGTTATGGCTCTCGTTGGCTCAAGTGGTACAGGGAAATCAACAATTGTATCCCTTCTGCTGCGGCTGTATGATCCTGTCTCAGGTATGGTTTGTGCGTTGCTGTCATTTGCAACAATTAGGCCTTTGCATCTCAGATATACCTTATAAACAGTTTGGGTTCCTGTGCTTGAGGTCCATGTTTCCTTCTGGGGGTGTATGGCTACACTGTGGTGGTGCCTGCATAGCTTTGCATTTCTGATCCACCACTACATTGCGTGATTCCCCAGGGGCTGTCATTAGCTGTTCATTCAGATTCTTTTCAATATGTGTCAAACACAATGGACTTCCCTGTTTCCTAACTTAAGGTACTATCACCGTTGATGGCTTTGATATCCGTCAGTTAAATCCACTGTGGTTCAGGACAAAGATTGGAACAGTAAGTCAGGTAAGGAAATAAAAAAATATCCAGGTGGATGAGATAATTTTGTGATCAACTAGTTTTGCTTACTTTCCTTCTTTTTAAAAAGACATAATCTTGCTTCTCAGTGAAATCCTTCCATCTCACTATAACTGCTGTTGCACATGTTTTTTCTAAAAGTATTTAGAACTAGTTCTAGTATTCTTGTATCTGTTTTTACATAATCACAGACATCCAAAATGTTAGTTTAGAAAAGTGTTCATGTGGAGACTGGAAGGTAAATTACTGGAAATCTTGTAGATATAGCAAGCAACCTAATGCTTGCTATAATTTGTTTAACAAAGATCTTAACTCTTAATTTTTGTATTGATGGAAGTCACACCATCATATTTTACACAGCCATTTAAAAAACTGACCATCTGTGCTTTGAGTAGTTTCCAGGAAAACATAATTCCATTAGGAAAGCATGAAAATACACCACTGTTGGCACTTACTTTTATAGCGCCACCTTCCTAGCAACCTCTAGATTCTGGAAGTCAAAGGTGTTTTAAAAATAAACTATTTCATCAATTAAAATGTTCATTCCCTCGTCTCTCCAAATACTTCACAGTGCAATCAACTGTTGGGCTGATGTTCTGGTTAAAAGCATAAGAGTAACTGAGTATTTGTTGCATTTCAAAACAACTTCTTTATGTAATAATGCCACCAAAAGCTTTTCAGTAGAAAATATTTTCCTGCTGGCACATTAGCACTTTTCTTTTTGAAAGATTCTATTCCATTTAAATTACCAGTAGGAGGTCAATACTGGTATTCAAAGAACGTGACTCTACTTTTTAAACAGAGCTCACTTACCTTGTTTCAGACATTTTCCCTTTGTACATCACTTGTCCTATCTCACAGTTCTCTGTTGCAAGCTTGAGTACAAATTAAATGTACATAATGCCATAAAATCTGTGTAGAGATTAAGAAAAGAATCATCATTGTTGCAAATCATAGAATAATTTGGGTTGGAAGGGACCTTTAAATGCCATCTAATCCAATCCCCCTGCATTGAGGAGGGACATCTTCAACTAGATGTGGTTGCTCAGAGCCCCATCCTTGAATGAGCCTGACTTAGAATGTTTCCAAGATTGGGGCATCCACCACCTCTTTGGGCAACCTCTTCCAGTGTTTAACCACCTGCACTGTTAAGAAGTCTTCCTTATATCTAAACTGAACCTCCTTTAGTTTAAAACCATCACCCCTTGTCCTATCACAACAGGCCCTGCTAAAAGTTCTGTTTCCATCTTTCATAGAGCCCCTTTAAGTCCTGAAACACCACAGTCAGGTCCCTTTGGAGCTTTTTCTTCTCCAGGCTGAACAGCCCCATCTCTCTCAGTCTTCCCTCACAGGACAGGTGCTCCATCCCTTCCATTATGATGATATGTGGCCAAGCACAAAGGAAGGGCTTTTGATGTTTGAATGTATAGCTCTTCCTAAAATATTAGGAATTGAGAGCTAGTTTTTTTCAGTTAAAAAAGCAACTTAATTTTTAATTGGTTTTCACTGTTCATTTTGTTGTTAGGGGATGAGGTTTTTTATTAGTCTTTAATTCAATTAACTCTAGCTTGTATATTCTTTGTATGGATATTGTAAGTAAGGTCTTGTAAGTAGGATTTATGTTATCTGACATAATAGAGAACACATGCATACAATTAGAGATCTACCATATTAGTTATGTGTTTGCATTTGTCAGGAACCAATTCTCTTCTCCTGTTCCATTGCTGAAAATATTGCCTACGGTGCTGAGGATCCTTCTACTGTGACTGCAGAGGAGATTCAGAAAGTTGCTGAAATAGCTAATGCTGCTAGTTTTATCAGAGATTTTCCAAAAGGGTTTGACACTGTAGTTGGAGAAAAAGGCATTTTGCTTTCAGGTATGTCTTTATGTCGCTTACGTTAAAAATCTTGATGCTACTGAGTGATGTAAAAATTCATTTTTTGTTACCACTTTTTCCTCCAAGCTATAGCCTGCCATAAGTATTAAAAGAATCCACCCTTCACCTCCATTCCCCACTAAAGTATATGGGTCTAACTCTGCTCAGCCCAGGCATTCAGTTAAAATTACCTGACATCTGTTTTCCTATTTCAATTTACTGATTCTTTTTCCCCAGGTGGACAGAAGCAACGAATTGCAATTGCTCGAGCTCTGCTCAAGGTAAGCCAGCACCCAAACAGCTATTTAACTACTTGGGGGAAGGCAGGAAGGATTAACAAGGAGGAGGTATTTCAATGGGAGAAGTAGGAAAATATTTTAAAAAGGGAAAACTGTATCTTCTATGTTAATGAATTTGAAAAGGCTGAGTGGCTTACCTAGTGACAATTTTACTTAATGTCAGTGCTTCTTCCTATCTTTCTGCCATGTCCTTTGGTAGTTCTTGACAAGACTGATGTTAAATCATTGTATGATGGCCCACTTCCATAAGATGAGGTCAAGGATGAAGGAAGACATTAAGAATGTGGTGCTATTAAAATACGCATATGACATGTCTGTGATCAGATCTCTATCATTCATGGGTTAATTTTTCTCGGTTGCAGTTTGCTAGTACTTCAGATGCCTTATCTTGGTTTTGAGGAGAGGAGGTCTAGATTTGGGACAAGGTGTTATTTCAGGCACAATATAGTGTCATGTTTTTCTTCAAAGATCTGTATGGGTCAAGCTTCAGGGCAGGCTCTGTGCTGCACCAATATGAGTGGCTTTCTGAGGATCAGAACAACAGAGAGTTTGGTTCAGGGACAGCCTCTGGGCATTGCAGGGAGGCAGTTTGGTGCTGATGCTGGAAGTTTTGATCCTTGCTGAACGCAGTTTACACTCATGTTAAGCCACACAGGTGTCTGTAGCATCCTGGCATGCCCAGTTCTGCTAGATTAGTAGGAATTCCATTATACCAGTTCTCTTTTACCACAAATGCTGAAAAGCTGAGTTTGTTCCAAGTCATGCATTTTATATGGTTCATGGGATTAAGACTTTATTTAGTGGAAGTAAAAAGGTTGAAAAAAATAAATGAGTAGTTGATATACTGGAATAGCTGGTGGTACAGGGGAGTCCCATCTGTCCCAGATGAAGTTTAAAGCTTTTTCTCTCAACTTTGTCAAGGAAGTTTGGGTTATTTTCTGTAATTCAGTAGTGAATTCTTCTAAAGGATTTGAGTGCTGGCAATTTATTTTTTTTAATAATCTAACTGGGAGAAGTTCTTAAATTCTAGCTCTTAAGTACTCTTGTGTTCTACCTGAGAGTGAAATACTGCTTGTTGGTAGGGCTTTGTTACTTTCAGTTACTAAGACAGTTTTATATAGCACACTGTCTGCAAGCAGAGGGGACCTGAGCCTCTGTGAAAGAGCTCCATAAGAATGTAGAACTTTTGATCACAGTGCTGCTAAGAATGCCTTGGCAAAATCATCTCCCCCTATTAGTTAATATCTCTCAAATGGTTATCCAGGAATAGTATTCTGCTATTTCAGTTTGGAAAATTTGAAAATGGAGGAAAGTTTTTTTCTGTTTTGTCCTCTTAGCATTTAGATTTCTTAGAAGTAATGCTTTAAATGACACTCAGTTCTTTTGATGGAGTAGGTACTCTAACTTGGAGTTTTAAGCTATATGAATCTTGTTCTCTATTGATACTAATACTCAGATCTTGTTTAATTGTTACTATAATCAATTTTACTTTCTTTTTCAGAATCCTAAAATTCTTCTGTTAGATGAAGCAACAAGGTAAGAAATAGAAACATAGAAATTATGTACCTGTAAAACTCAGATTTGGAACTGTTCTCTCTTCTTTCTTTCTCTCCATGTTGTTATACATTATCTAGCCCCTTACTGCTTTCTACTCACAAAAAAGAATGTGCCTTCAAGAATGTGTGACTTGGTTAGGAGACCTATAATAAAAGCTGTTCATGCAAAGCAGAAAGGATAGCTGGTACATTGTGATTTTTTAATTTTTCAATAAAAAGTTAATTTTTTAGGATTATTCTGCAGTAATTGATTTTCTTTTTTCTGCTGACTTCATTTGGTTTTTTTTCTCCATGCTTATTTTTGCATATGGGAATGTGTAATACTTGTTACTTGGATGTGAGCACTGAGCACATTCACAAAACTTTTCCTGCAGTTCCAGAGGTTCTTCTTCACCACAAATAGAGAGGGTATGCAGTTTTGGCAAAATAAGCCTCGTGCATACAAAACAAACCTTTCCTACAATAAATAACAAATATTCCCCTCTCTCCCATCCCTACCCCATTTGTTACTAGTGCTTTGGATGCTGAAAATGAGTATCTAGTGCAAGAAGCTCTGGACCGGCTGATGGAAGGGAGGACAGTCCTAATAATTGCTCATCGTCTGTCTACTATTCAAAATGCTGATTGCGTTGCAGTCCTTGGCCAGGGTAAAATTCTTGAATGTGGGAAACATGAGGAACTACTTGCAAATCCAAATGGACTTTTCAGGAAACTAATGCAGAAACAAGCTTTTCTTCAAAATAATGATACTTTTGCATTAGATTTACAATCCAGAGAAAAGGATGTATTAAAAGAAAATGTATGAGACAATGTATGAATGATGGAAACTTATAAACGACAAAGACTATAACTTATGTTTCAGTTATGTAAAGTAAATGTTATATTTTTCCAAAATGTACAAAATATTCTTTTGAAATTTAAATGTGTTTAAACTTTTTATTGAAAGCTTTTTAATAACTATTGTAACTTTTAAAAGTGTCTGTCAAACTGTGATTATTTCAGTGCATAATTTTTCTCCATGTGTTACTTTGAGATTGTCTAGAATCTTGTTTGCTGTAATGCACTGTGTGAAGATGTGCTCCATTCTCAAGTAAGTTCAGTATTGTAAAGGTAATTAAATTACAATATTTTAATTTTCATATCATTGTCTCTCTCTTTCCAAGGAACTTCCATGTTTTGTCCTTGTCAGTAGTCTTAAAATACTGGAATTCAAAAATGCATGGCACTAACACACGCTGAAAGTTCTGTCTGACTTCCACTGCACTGTCCTTCCAGTTACCGTTTGTTCCAGTGTGATTATGTGTTCTGAACTTGACTATGATCCCCATCTACAGTTCTTGTAGAGAATTACACATGAAAACATATTTTAGAGAGTATGAAAGCGTGAGTTGGGGGAAAGTTCTTTAATAAAACAAACAGCCCTATGGAAAAAAAAGGCAACCAAACAAAATAAACTTAGTTTGCATAAGGACAAAGGAAGTGTATTTCTATATGAAGTCACATAGGAAAATCTAAAATTTGCATGCATTTTCCTCCCTTTTCTATTTTCCCATTTCTTTAGTTTCACTTCCTTTCTAAGATGACATCTGAAAGAACATTCCGTCCCATATGTTTTTGTCCTTTTTAAAGGCATATGTAAGTTTTGTATTGTTAATTAAAATTTCAGTGATAGAAATCATGAGTTTTGCCTAACTACTTTATTAGAAACAACTAGTAAACAATCTTCTCAAGGACAACTAGTAAAATAGCAGTGTTACGTTAATTTGAATAACTGCAGGGGGATATGTCTGGCAGTGAAGAGTTTGCCTCATGTTTCTGATTGAAGAGTCTCTTTCAGTAGAATCTCTGAAGATGCAAAACCCCACAAGGAGATTTAAAAAAGCTACAAACTTCTCAGATCACATTAAAATTCATCCATGCTAGGAAAACTTGTTGCTGGAAGACCTCATTGGCAATAGCTGAAATACCTAGTGCTGGGCAAGCTTAAAATGTTAGTGCCATTAATGGCACCTTGTGGAACATAGTGAAAGTATTAGAGGATGAAAATAAAATTACATCCAGATGTGGCTTTATTTTCAGATAAAATTTGCCTAGAAGCATATATTGTAGTCAAGATATGCAAAAAATACTCCTGATCCAGTTTCAGTGTTGACTATTAGTCAATGTATTTAAAGGGGTTTGCATCTTTAATCCTCACTCATGTAATTTCTCCTTACATGAGATCCAATGAGCCCCTTCATTCCTGTATTTACACGGTTTGCAGGAATTAGTTGCAGCTGAGCTGAATGAGTGTTTCATGTCTTTTGTCCATTAGTTATCCTGTCAGGTATTGCAGCCGACAGAGAAGTGTGAAAAGCTGCACAAGAGCTCTAGTCTACCGAAAAGCAAATGTTTGTCATAACAGGTACATTGGTTAGCAGATGTTATTTGAGTTACAACCACTCAAAAAACTCCTTGGGATATTTATGGGACAGTTAAGAACTGGTTAAGTCTCTAACTGGTATCAGTAAATATATTTCTGTGTCGAAAATGAGACTTCAATGTTGAATTGTATCTCTCGTGAAGATGGAGCTTCTTACAGGGCTGGGACAGCCAAAGGAAGCAGACTAATTTTCTGAAGAAGTGAAGCCTGCATATAGATAGGGTTCAACCAGCAAAACACAACTGTTCATGCTGCACCATTTTAAATGTTTTAGGAACGAGCTGTGAAAAGGAGCTTTCAGTTTTTAAAATAATTTTAATGTCATCAATCGTGAATGTTGGGAAATGTGGATATCAGCTTGAATTTTCTTCTGTATCTGCTTGCTTCTGTGTGCATTTCCTGATTTGGTTTGGTTTTGTTTGTTTTTCTTGATGAAGTGACAGTAACATGATGATTTAGCATCATATGTATAAAGAATATGTGTGTGTGTGTATATATATATGTATAAAGAAGGCTATACAGAAGGATATTATATTTATTTAACAATATAGGGAAGCTCCACCAAATTTTGTTATTTTGCTTTTTGCATAAAATCAAAGCCAAAGGAGCTTATTTGAATGAAAAAGACAAAACACTGACACCGACAGGTGCCTCATACTTCAAGTCCTGCCAGATGAACTGTCTCAAGTTTTTCTCATCTGCACTTAGTGTCAGTCATAGGGCACCACAATCCACACAGAAAGCCTAACAGCCCTGAATCTATTATCAAAGAAAACGTTTTTGAAAAGTTATGCCATTTCTTTTTATGATTCTATTTTTAGTTAACTTTATCTTAAGCGATTTGCTTTGTTGGTAATATACATTTGACTCAACTTCTTCCCCAAGAGGGTGGTACATACCTTCTGAAAGTTTTTTCATGCAAACCGATGTCACTGAGCATTTAGTTCCCCTTGAAGGCTAAAATCTATTTTTATACCACAGAATAGCCGTAGTGCGTGGTTGTAATTCACCACAGATGTGAAACATATCGAGGTTTGCATGGAATATGGTTTTGCGTATCTATTTATTAAACTAATTAGAAATTTGGGGACAAACACAGGTACACACAGGCTATTTTAAAGATAACTCTTAGTGGAAATACATCCTTCCAAATGGTCTTTGAACAGCTACTTTTTGATCACATCCAGCCTTTACCTGCTGGCACTGGTTAGTGCCAGCTAATCGCACGAACTCGGTGAGGAACAGTACACCTAAAGCCACTCTTGCGAATGCTCCGCGGAACGTCCCGAAGGACCAAGCACAGCTTCAGGAGCAGCTGAGCGAGAGAACCGCGCTTCACTTTGGCTCTGAGGGCCGGCAGCGCTGGGGAGCAGCGCGGGGATGCCTTCACCCCCTGAGGGGCGGGGCAGGTGCCCTGCACCAGCAGCCGCACGCCTGCCGCGGGGTTTCCGCCGCTCGCCGGCAGGGGCCGCGCCGCGCTCGGCTCCGCTCGGCTGTGTTCGGCTCCAGCCGGTGCCGTTCCTCTCCTCTCGGTCACGCGCGGCTCCGTTCGGCTCCCGGCGGCTCGCGCGCGGCCCCGCCCCGCGGTGACGCGCTCAGCGGGCGCCTGGCGGGAGCGCGGGGCGGGCGGCGCTCCCACATCCACAGCCATGTTCCCGTCGGCTCCCGCCTCCCCGCGGACCCCGGGCGGCTCGGCCCGCAGGACCCTCGGCAGCGCCGCGCCCAGCCCGCTCTCCCGGCCGGGCGGCAAGAAGGGCCTGCCCGTCGTGGCGGCAGCCGCCTCCCCGGTGCTGTTCTCGCCGGCGGCGCGGAGGAGCGGCTCCCTCTCGGCTCGGTGAGTCCCTCCCCTCGTTATTAGGTGCTGGAGCCACTGTGGGTTACATTATAGTACTGTACATTAAAGCCGTAAATATACAGTATTTATGTATACTCGCTCCTGTTCAGCGTTATGAATATCTCTTTGTTGGTTATAACTCCTATATCATATGAGATATAAGAACTCCTGTATTTAAAAAGAAGATAAAATATCCAAAGTTCATACATTTCACGCCTACCCCTCTCCCCAGCATCTTCCCCTGTTTTCCCCCTTCCACACGGATCAAAACTGAGATACAGCATGAGCCCCAGATCAGTTTCAGGCTTCATAATCTCTTAGGCGTAGCAATTTGTCGTGTTGTTGAGATAAAGAGGATTGCCCAGGTTCAGTTTTGGGGAACTTTTACTTCAAGTCTACTTTATTTTTGGAAACCGTATGTCAGGATTGTCTACTAGCTATGTATCAACGTTTGCCATTTCACACGGGAAGGTCTGAGACATCATTTCACTTGTGGGGTGAAATAAAACGAGGGCATTAACTTCTAAAAGCAGAGAAATTTGCCCACCTAATTGTGTTCAAAAGACAACAGAGAGCTGTGCTGTTCCAGAGAGAGAAGGTGAGGAAAGATGCAAAGCAGCTTTTATAAATGGTATTGTGAAAGAGGTAGGCAGTGCAGTCTCCACAGCAGACTAAGGGTGGTAGAAGTGCTGTTGGATCCAAGCTGCTGTGGGTGTTTGAAGTGTTGCACAGTGTGTACTGCCCAGCTGTGCTTGAGTTAGGGATGGAAGTAGGCCCTGCAGTCAGGGAAGAGCTTCTGCTGAGCTTCTCCTGACATTGTGAATGTCTTCATTCTGTTGGTAACCTGAGTGTAGGGAAGTTGAGTTTGTTGCTGGTGGAGTAATGCCTATTCAAAGTCAGTTCTTTAAAGAATTTGAAGATTACAGGCTAGCAACCTGTAAGGAAGTCACCAAATTATTGCTTTAGGTGGTGTTCCCAGAGGAGGCATGTTTATTTTACCTAAATCTTTCTAAATAGATACTCATGAAGTAAATGTCTGCTGAAACTGATGAAGGAGCAATAAAAAGTTAACTGTAACTTTTTGTTTTGTTTAAGAGCAACTCCTACCAGAGTTATCCAGCTTCCTACAGCAACTGAGACTATTAACTATGATGTTAAGGCTTTTGGATCCTCTCTGCCTGTTAAGGTTATGGAAGCCCTGAAGAAGGCTGATGGTAAGAATTGGTGTTCTTTTTCTCCATGAAAATTGGTAGGTGAGAGAATTCTTAATGTGTTGTTGATGCCACTGAAATGCTGACTTTAGAGGGGAAGCTAAAATGTCTGTGCCTTGCTTTCAATCCAGCCTGGTTATCTATATAACAATAACTATTACCCACTCATGTGGGTGTGAATGCATGGAAGTACCTTTCTGGTGCTGCTTATGCAATTTATTGTAAAAAAACAAGGGTTTTTAGTAACATTTACTTATTGCTTCTTTCTCACCTTTTTTACTTGTTTTGATTTTGCTGTGTCCTAAAGTGGATGCTTAATTTTTTTCTTTATTTCAATTCCCATTTGTTATCTCTTTCAAAAAGCCCTTGTAATACGAACTTTTCCCTGAGTTCAATAAATTGGTCTCCTATGCAATTTTTTCTCTGTGAATAAGTTTTTCCTTTATAGTAGATATAAGAGGAACCAAATATGTATCTTAAAAATAATAATTGTTGAGCAATTTACAAAGCTGTTATAATCTGCTCTAAATGGATGGAAATGGATTTTAGGGTTGTCTTTTCATTCTCAAAGGCTGAGGGTTTATCAAATGGATTGTTAAACTAGATGTAGTAATTCGATATGTTAATCAAATAGATGGAAATTCTAACATGGAAACTAATCTAATAGAAAAT